GAGTGTCAATGGTATAGCGCGGCGGTGGCGGCGCTTAGTTTGACACTACTTTGGCAAACACTCGCTCTGTATGTGACAGACAGACACATACACTCTCACTGACTGCCACACAGAATATATACCCCTCTCTCTCTCTCTCTCTCTCTCTCTCTCTCTCATTCTCTCTGTAGTTACGAATAGAGATTTAAAATTAAAATTTCCATTAATAAATCCTTTGAACCGGTTAAGAATAATTCATAGAATTCTCAGCCATATAAATCTGAAATAAAAATTCTTCGCCAGTCTATCAAACGCTTGTCTCCAAAAGTAATCTCAAAGCCATTTAATATATTATATTATTCGCTATTCGACAGAATTCTCTCTATACTGTATATTCTCTATGGCTATAGTATTTCAAAAATATCATTGCACTCGAGTGTGTCGACTATCGATTAGTGGTAGGAATCGCTACATAAGTTTTGAATTGAAATGAGATTTCAAAGGCTGATATGTTTTAAATGAATTTTTGTACTTAAATATAGTCTTTGGTATATAGTGTATACACACATAAATAGCAATAAATAGCAATACATAGCCTAAACTGAAAGCTCTCACATTTCTACCCCTAAATTCTCGTTAAATACATAAATTCCGGTAATTATATTACATATACAAGAATTTCCAAAACCTAAACACAATAAAGAGTTTTGTGTTTTAAAACAAATTTCTTAAAACTAGCATTAGGGCACGAATTCTTTGCATATTTTATTCTTAAACTCAAAAAATATTTAGATTTAAATTCTTGTGTGTATTTTGCGAGTGAATACAATGATATTTATTGAATCGACAATTCCTATCCATACAGCTATTATTCTGTCTATTCATTGCATAGACAATAAAACTAACAATAAATTCTCGTTTTATACAATAATTCTTGTTTTTGATTGACGAAAATGATTGTGTATTTCAGTCAATGTATACCCTATAATATAGTCGGTATTATATTCAATACATACTTACGGTACAAATGAATTCAATAGTCGATTCCTAATTGAAATGCAAAAACCATTTGAGTGTTTATTTTGCACTAAAAATACTTTATTTCTTTACGTGTGTATTGTGCACACTATTACAGTTAAGTGACATTCATATACAGTACACTTTTCATACCAAATACAGTGCTATTCAGACTAAGAATTTCATAGAATATCGCATATAAATGATAATAACATCAAATACCTGTCCTCCCTTTCCTGTATACAGTATTATGAATTCACTTAAAATATGGTGTGAATGCCTTTTGTAAGGAATAAATTTTAGTTTACATTTAAATTTTTACGATTTGTAAAAATATAATCTTATGTCTAATGTATTGAATATTTATACAAGAATTTGGTTCACTATAATGGGTTTGCTATATCTAATGTCACATTAAATACAGAATATTCTGTTACCCGGAACTCAATGTCTCACAGAATTTAGTGTTTAAATAAAGTGAATAAAATAATTATCATTCATAATTATGTGAATTTAATTGCGGGACTACACATTCCCCGCGTGCCATACCTACCAGCGCTCTGTATGATTGACGTTATATCGGATGCACTGTATGTCGTATGCCTGTCCTACTGGTGACAGACCGGAGTGCCCGTGCGCTACAGGCGCTCACCCAGGCGTTGCCCAAACCTCATGCGAGAGATCGATAAAAGAGTTATACCTTAAGAGAGAGAGAGAGAGAGAGAGAGAGAGAGACGGATCGTTTTAGAGAGTTTGTGTCGCGAGGGGTATATATTCTGTGTGGCAGTCAGTGAGAGTGTATGTGTCTGTCTGTCACATACAGAGCGAGTGTTTGCCAAAGTAGTGTCAAACTAAGCGCCGCCACCGCCGCGCTATACCATTGACACTCGTAGTGACACATATAACAGGCAACCCGTCTCTGCAAACAATATGATTATTCCGAAACAAAAGCACTTATTTCAACACTAATCGCTATAATATGGGGACAATACCAGTGCGCCCAGTCGTCACAGTAGTGTTTGCACAAGTGATGAAGTGTTGAAAACTACTTGAAAAATGATGACAATTTAGAATTTTATTAATAATACCTTTAAAAAGTAATTCTGGTGATTTTAAAAAACATATCATTTTAATTTATCGGACGTTATTTATGGGCATAATTTTTGTAACAAATGTATTTCTCGCGTAACACTATCGCCTAGTATTGTGTAAAAAACACACATTAACTCAGCGTTTAGTGCAGTGTTTGCTGTGGACTAGCGTTTGAAAACACAGCGAGTATTTTGGTTAGCGTTTTGTTTATGATGTTTTGTACACTGACACTTTTCGTACGATAATTAATTAATTAATTAAGTCAATCATACTGTGTGTGTATATACGTGCTGGTGACAATCAATTGATTACAGTAATTGCTACAAAACTAAGCGCACAAAGTTTTTTATGTACACCCTGTACGTGAGTGATATTAATTGCAAAGTTTGTGCGATTTTTTGTGATGGATATTTAAATGTGATTGTTCATTGTTTATGATTCAGTTTTACGTGTTCTAGTTGAATTTAATTTTAGTTTTTTTAAAAATTTATACACCAATGTAGTCGTGGCTTAATGTATAGTGCATTGGATTGTACAGTGATTTATAATTTTCTCGTAAACATAGCTAGGCTATAATAATTAATTTAATTAGCATTTTAGCGTAACATTTCTTATTACAAGTTATATGCCAAACACTAATGGTTTGTCCAATGATTAGTGAAAATATAAATTTATTTCTAGTATTTCTCTATGAATACGAGTAAACCAGTGTTTGATTTGCGAATTGAGTTTATATTGAGTTAATTATAAGGCATTTATTTTTAGCGTTTAAATAAAAGTGTTTTTTTTATTTTTATGCGAAATTTTCTTTTCAATACGAGTGGAGAAAAGACTGGTTTTTAGCGTTCAATTCAATTGTATGTTAAATATTGAGGAAATCCAGTAATAAGTAGTTTTCTAACTCTCCTTTCAATTCATAGCTATTTTTGTTGAGAAATTATTTATTATTTATAGATATTTTTAACACAATTTTCTTACGCATAGTATTATACACTGTATTAGATATTTTGTATTGATTTTTAATGGTTTTATAAATTGTGTTACGCTTTGGCAGTGATTTGTTTGCATTCAAATATGCTTAGACATCCCTAAGTCGCCTGTAATTCAATAGTGTTTTTTTGTTTCCTATGTATGAGTGGTGTGAATGCGATTTTAATGATTTGTACCCGGGTGATTAGTGCATTCGGTCTCGTAGTTTGACTTTTATTGCTAGTAATGAGTGTATTTTTTCGCTGAGTTTGTCATAGATAAGGGTTTTGATAGTTTGTTTGTCGAGTGATTTGTGCTGTACTTATGGTATACACCACTGGCCTCTCATTACACTTGATTTGAGTTAATTAGCGATAGACAGGGATTGGAGGTTAGGGTTAGGGCGGTGTGGGGTTGGGGTTCGTATGGAAGGGCTTATTATGGGGTAAGAGATATGGAGTTAAGATTTTATAAGATATGAATGGATGCGAGAGTGAGTGAGTGAGAGAGAGAGAGAGAGAGAGAGAGAGAGATTAAATTGTAGTTAACGTACAGATAAGTGCACCCGAAGTTTGTACAGCTTAATAGTCACTCGTAAATGGACTTTGAGATCCATTTCCATCCCTATCTCGACACCGATAATCGCGTACTTAATGTCAATCTCAATGTATGTTGATATGAAAAATGTGTTTCAAAATTTCAGATTCAATTTGCAAATCAAAAACTGTCTCTCGATTTCTATGTCAAACACTTTCGTTACTATCGCTCAAAAAAATTGTTGAGATATTCAAAAGTGTGAGACAACTGTTGAATCAAATGTTTTATGCATTTTATTCAGTGACTGATTTCATTTAAATTAAGAAATTTGTTTGATATTTGTTTAACTTTTTTCGTTACAATTGCATAGCATGTGTGAAAATATTCACTGTATTTGCGTTTAACTAATTACTATTTTGAAAAACAAATAGTGAGTGTGTTTTATATTCAAATAATTTTTTCATTGTATCTCTTATTAACAGTTTTATCAGTGATTATAATACACGTATGAAATACACTGCGAGTAATGAAAATATAAACTCTTATATAATATATAATAAATACGAGACATAATAATAACGCTTTAAATGGAGATTTAAACACAAAAGTCATTTACTTAAGTACTCCCAGAAAAAGTAAAAATCTTCAGATTTTTATGGCGACAATATTTTTGATGTGAAATACCAAACATATCCAAAGTTTTTGTTTTGTGTAAAAGTATACACGGTTTTCGTATATAATTGCGTTAAAAAGTGTTTTTAATACAAAATGTCAACTCATTCAACAAATTCAGACATTATAAGGTATTGTGTTATAGAAATTAAATTAAATACAAATGTCGAGTAATTTATTGTTCAGAAAATTGTTTATACTGTATATTTATGTTGCTTTTATATTCATTTAATATTTTTTACTTTCCATTCAATTGTCATATTTATTAATAGAGAATTTTTGGCTATTATTCTAATGTTTATATTATTATATGAAATCATATGATGTATGAATATATGGTAACGATAACATAAACCATATCTGTATTGTGATGACTACAGTGAACTCCAGTTTAGTGAAGTTTTTTCTAGTTTAACAATAAATAGATGTTTCCGTTTCTATAAGTAATTTAATTTAATCACACAATACATATAGCACTCAACCAATGGGATCGTAGATATACTAGTTTAATGTGTTTGTGTTAAAATGTTTTAAAATTATTTAATTTAATGGAAGTAATACTACATTATAGATATAACCTAGAGTGCATAATATTATACAAATTTCTAGCCATTTATTTCGATATTATGAGACAATAAAGCAGTTGATTGTAACATAAAAGTAGTGATAAATACACTAATAAATAACAATAAATTATTTAGATTTATATTTTATTCATAATAACCGCTAATGTATTGTATATTTAAGGGAATTTATTGAGCAAAAGTTTCTTTTTCTTTGCACTCATTTATAATTTAAAATTTTATTTGCTATCCATTCAATCGCTCATATCTTATGCCAAACACACATACATACTGCCCATCCCTTTCCAAACCCTTTAATACACAAAACATTATTCAATTATTGCAATAACTGTACTCCTCGTGGACTACACACCGAAAACTACTCTATATATCGTGTGCCTTAAGAATATTCTCTCCATTCCCTCTATACTTATAATAAATAAATTACGATAAAAACGAGAAAATTAATTGTATTTATCAGTGGAAAAAACTAATCAATTGATTGCTTATGATCTCGATTACCACCACAACAGACAACGTCTTCCAGCAGTGATGGTTCCGCGCGAAGAGGTGAGCCTCTGGTCGATACTGAAGCACTGTATCGGCAAAGAGTTGTCGAAAATCACGTTTCCAGTGGTGTTCAACGAACCCCTCAGTTTCCTGCAACGGATGACCGAAATACTGGAATACGCCGAGCATTTGAATGTCGCCGACCAACTGGACGACCCCATCGAGCGCATGGAGGTCTGTATAGATCGTGTTGTTTTGTGCCGAATATTCTGTGCCCACCTTTAGCTCCCTTTCCCAATCAAACTCCACGCAGATTCTGTAGTTTTATGTGGTTTTTGGTGTCTGTTTTCGCAACTTTATGTTGTTTTTTGTTTTATGACTGGTTTTTAGGGACTATTTCCCACTTTTTTTAAAATGAGGTTTTTGTGTTTATTTTTGTATCCAGTAACATTACTGTTATAGCATTTTTGTGGTTTTTATCTACTTTTTGTGGATACATATTGTACCCGTATTTTATGCTTTAATTTTTTTTGTTTCTTTTGTAATTGTTTTTACGGTATATTTAAATTTAATTAAAACTCGACTCTTAAATCAGATTCCGTGAGTCAACCGCTAATTAATGTTTTTTTTTGAGTTTTTTTTGTTGATTACTTGTAATTATCTCTATCTCTTTGTTTAGAAGTTTTTTTTGTGTTTTTATTTTATACGCCAAAAGTGTTTGCAGCAGTCATTGTCATTGAATTTGAAGTTTATTTTATTGTGTTTTTAATTATTTTATAGTTTCCTAATTTTTCGTTTTGAAATACCATTACAAATGACTTTTTTATTAATTGCTATTAAAAGGTAAATTATACATGAAATTTGATTGATTATATTTATATACACTATACAATAGATAAACTTAATCAAATACAGTACATAGTATACTATATTTACCGCACATTGACTGCTATATTATTAGATTATACCGATAGTTAGGCAATGAAAGTATTTTACAAGCATTTGTACATTATTTTATAAAATTAGTTTTTGTAGTAAAAGAGTTAATAGTATATTATGTCGAAATAATTTTCATCACAAAATTTAGCTATTATTTTGAGCGCACGATAACATAAAACATACACGAGTTTTGAGTTTAATTTGATTTATTACACATTGAGCCTCTAGTTTGAAGTGTTCACCCATTATCCGGGTAATTCAATTTGCTATGCCATCAAATCATTGAATTTACATTAAACATACTCCACACTCCCGACATACAGTATACGAGTGCCCTTATGTTAAGCACCGGTAATTAGTTTTACAAATTAGCGAACAATACGTTTAGTAATTAAACATTTCGGTCCTATTATTCGCTGCGAGAATATATTTATACTCTCATCCCTATTGTTATAAATCAGACAAAAGGCTTAATTTGATGTGAAATTTGGTTTTTGTTATTTTTCAAACCACTATACACGCCATGAATAGTGCATAACATGTGTTGAACACGAAAAGTGTAGTTTGAAATAAAAGTTTTCTTTTCGTTTTCTAATCTCTTATAATAATATTATTACTTTCGATGAGTTGTTTGCGTTGAATACGGAATCTGTTTCAATACCGAGAGAAACCCTTTTAACCCACCAATCGATTCTTGAATTCAATTGAATATAATTTTTTAATACATTTATTTCTAATATCATTTCCAATATATGACTGTCCACTCCGATGTCCACCCGTACGTCCACAGGAAGTCTGCGCGTTCATAGTGTCCGCCTATTCGTCAAACTGGTTGCGACTCAACAAACCATTCAACCCATTGCTGGGCGAGACCTACGAGTACGAGCTCCCGGAGCTGAACATAAAGGTGGTGTTCGAGCAGGTGTCCCATCACCCGCCGGTGAGCGCCTGGCACGCCGAGAGCGACCACTTCGTACTCCACGGCACCATTAATCCCAAGTTGAAGTTCTGGGGCAAATCCATTGAGATCGCCCCGGAGGGCACCGTTACGCTCAAACTCAAGTCCCGGCCCGACGTCTACACCTGGAAGTCCGTCAACTGTTGTGTTCATAATATTATTGTCGGAAAGCTGTGGTTCGAAGAGGTATTGGCTTTTGTTTTGGGATTACTTTTGTCTGTAGTGTTCACTCATTTGTTGCTTATTTTGATTTATGATTAGTTTAATTAATTTTTTGGTAATCTAGTTTTTCAATAGTATATTTTTTGTGAGAATATCAGTGAAAATAATTTTTTAAATTTTGAATTAAAACTAAATTTAGCTATTAGTGTGGTACGGTAAATACGCTATACAGTAGATATCCAAGGATCAATACCGCAGCATGTAGTTTATAATTGAGTGTTTAATGGAGTTTATTATTGTGTGAAGCATTTGAAAAGTAGTTTTTTAAAAATTGTGTACATTTTTTGGTTTGTGTTTACAGTACGGCTTAATGGAGGTAACGAACCAAACGAATGGTATGCGAACGCAATTGAACTTCAAGCCAGCAGGGTGGTTTGGCAAGGACCTGCATAGATTTGATGGATTCATTTACTCACAAGAGTAAGTACAGTATATAAGATATTATACACCCCCTTCCACAAAAAACTACCTGTGCTCTAACCCCCTATTTGCTTGTTTACGAGTTAGCAATAAGTTTTAATCCTAATTTGTTGTGCGATTTCGTGTGCATTGCATTGGATTTGAAGTTTGGTTTCTGTGTTTGACTTCGTATTGATTTTTTGGGTGAACTTTTTGTTTGTTGCTGTTATTTAGCGAAACCTTTTCATTCACTTTTATTAGTGGATTACGACAGTAAAGCCTGATTTCTATGCAACAAATAGATTCCGTAGTTGTTGTTATATAATTCACGCATACAGTTAGTTATTAATTAATATATTTTTGTGATTTACTTTAGTAATAATAGGGATGAATGCGTCAAAACATATAACTTTTATTATTAGTATTACGTGTAGACTATATATATATATAGAGTACACACAAACACCGGGTCTTAACGTTAATTACAGCGATCGTGTCCTCAGTATAACTGATGCTGTGATTGATTTTTGGCATTTAATATGTTTTTGGTTATGCTTTCAAACGGCACTCATTAGACCGTAATGTTTGTGACAAACGACTCTTTTTGGCGACTTATATAATCTCCAGGAGCTCTCATACCTATCCATACCTCTCTCACTGTCGCACATAATTCTGTACCAATCAATAACTCATTTTCATATATACCGGTGCTATAAATACATGAGCACTAAACGAGTGCTAAAAACATATAACAATAACGAGAGCTATGGTTTGGGCATAAATTAGTTGCCATTCAATACAACGACATTTTCCATTGAAATGATTTGTAATTTACATTCAATTATTAGTTTGAGTCGAGGTATCGCTACGTATGTCATCACGTTTTGGTTTCGCATTGCATTTGAATTTATAAATATAAAACAATATTTTCTATTCGTTATTGCTCTGCTCAAATCGTAACATATTAATTAATATGTATTATACAGTTTACATAAGTATTATTGCGAAAAAATTAATTCAATAATAATTCTGTATTATGCACTCGTATTCAGTATATCTATAGAGGTTTTTGTACTATATTTAGAAAAAATTAAATATTTGTTAAACGAGTTCATAATAAGTATAATTCATTTTTGAGATAACATATAGTGTGTTTGAAAGACTAGTTTTATAAATATTTATATTCAATTTAAGTGATTAAAATATTTTTGAGTTGATATGACATTCATTTGTGTGACATTTTCTCATTTACTAAATGAGTGAATCGATTGCTTATATTTTTGGTGAGAATTATTTCACATTGAAATTCTGTATTCAATATAAATGAGTTTTTAGTTTTTTTAGTTTTCTCACCAAATCATGTGTTTAATGTCATTATAGTTTGCATTCATTCAATTGATTTCTAATATATTCTCACATTTATATGAATAGAAACTAATGATCGGAATGAATGATAAGTTAGTATTTGCACTCATATTAGAGAATATAATATACATTGAATTTATTTCATTAAGAATATTCTGTAAGTGTTTTTAATATTACCTATATAATATATTTGATAGGTGTTCAACGCTTAATACAAAATATTTACTTTATTATTAATTTTTACGAATATATTTGAGTTTTAAATTATAATTTAAGCGAAAAATGTTCATGTTTTAATATGATTTTTATGTAAATCGTTGAAAAATGTCATTAATATTTACCGCAAAAATAAATGCAATAAAATATTGCACACATTTTTATACATAATATTCAAATGGACTTTTCGTGTTCACCAGAGTTTTTCGATATTGAATACTACATTAAAAGCGCTTAAAAACAAAATTAGATTTTTGTTTAATTATTTTTGACAGAAAAACTTGTCTATAATTTATGGAAATTTAATAAACACTTTAAGTTTGATTTTCTAGTTTATTAATATCATACATACAGTGTTAATATTCTGTTCATATTCTGTTCATATCGTGTTTGCATTTTATGAAAACCCTGATTCTTACGACAATTCTGTGCCCTTTAGGGACTAATTATATGCAAATGTTTTATAGCTTTAAATATGTGTTTACAAAAAAACTTTTGCTAACGACTTGTAAATGGATTTCAAAAATTATATTCACATTAAACTAATCATTAAATGTTTGCATTATATATGAAACAGCAAAGAGAAGTTGCGATTCATATACGGGAAATGGAGCGACTATTTGAAGAGTGTCGGCGCTGATGACTACGACGAGTATATGCGCACCCATTCGCAGCGGTTCCGGGTGCCCGACCGGCCCGCCACCGACAGCTCCCAGCCCTCTACGCCCCGCAAAATGTTCTCAAAACTCAATAGTCTC